GGCAAGCACTTATTTTACTGAGCCCCAGCCCCTTTACCTTTACTCTTAAGAGGATTTGTAAAATTAATATCATCACACACTTTCATCACTTAGTGCTAGGGAAGTGGAAAACCATTTCTGATTGCCTATGCCATTTTTGCTTTAGAGAATACATGACCATTACTTTCATTTTTCCAGACATGTGTGGTTAAAAAAAGGGGGAAAATCCTAATCTGTTTATGGGACAAAGATAGTTCAGGCCAAAGCAAGTTTTACTTGACTTTCAGTGTCCCATAAACTATCACGTGGGTGTGACCACACTTTTGTGTCCTGGACAAAAGAAAAAAAGCTTGGAAGTGCCAGTGTCTTACCTAAAGGAGCTCTTCAGACGGAACTAATTGCTCGGAGCTGCCCAAGGATGGGGAAATGGCTTAAATCTCACTTTTCAATAAGGAATAGATGGCCCAAATTCTTGCCTCAAGCAACCTTCTCCAGCCCTGTTCCCTGGCACAGGCAGGAGTGGCGCTCACTTGTCAGGATCTGCTGGCTGCATATGCAGCTACTTAGAGCATTCTTCTTCTACTTGTTTACTGAGTTTTATTTATTTATTTATTTTGCAAAAAGAGTAAGGAAAAGGAGTGTGAAAGTGTATCCAGCTACTCTAAAACGTAGAGTCCTGTCCTCCCCAAGACTCCCACAACTCTCAGCGAGGGTGGGCTGTCAGACATGGGCCAGTAAGGTGGGGCTCCAGCCCACGACAGCCAAAGACAGGCGCTCACCCACCTGGTTAGAGGCCGACACACTTCTGCCTACAGAAAGTGGTCTATCTGGCTGTGGCCAGGAGCTGGAGAGGACTCTTGAGCCCCTGTGCCAGTGTTGCTGTCCCCTTCTTTTGTGTCCCTTTCCAGCAGCATTTCCTGAGAAGGGCCTGCCTCAGCTCAGCATCACCCTGATTCTGGTCTGCCTCCTCAGTGCCACGTGAGGAAGTGGAGGACGCATCTGCTCCAACTGACTACAAGGCATCTTTTATTAGTGCATATTAATGGCACAGAATGTTTTCTCGTTTCATCTTCCTACATGTGTATACCATGCTCCGACCACACCCCCTTCTCCTCCCCTTCCCTGTCCTCCCGCAATCCCTTCCTCTTCTCTAACGGTCTTCTTCATGAATGATTCTCACACCTGCAAGAGTGTGTTGACTGTGACAGTACAGCAACATGGCGTGAGGCTGGCTGCACACAGGCTTCTGCTCTGTACTGTGCACAGCCAGCCTTCAAGAGGCGTACAAGGAAATCCTGTAGGATGAACTCAAGCTCTCTACGCCCACATCCAGCTTACGCCTGTCTCTTCACTGGGAGTTTGTGGGGGACTGAATAATCTTGTAGTTGAAAAACAACTTATAAGCCACAAAGAATTAAGTGAATGGGACTGAAGATCATTACTGCTACTATGCTGTGTGTTCACATCAGCTCTGAAGTATTCTTTGGAGACCAAAAGCTGCACCTTACACCTGAAAGCTACTTCCACCAATGAGCAGCACCCATTCACTCTCATCATTCTGCAGGCCCCCAGTTTTCTTCAGGATACTTTTCTCCAGTGGGAACAGTAACAGCTGATTGATGATACGAAGCCTGCACTGCGCCCCATGTTCAACACCGCGCACCCTCTCTGATGTCCTTCTCAGTACAACCCAATGTCGAGAACAGGCTGGGAGTACGGCCCCTCACCAAATCTACACATCTCCTCAGCCGACACAGCAGCCTGCAGCCCCTGGCCTTGACCACCAAGGCACTAAGATGATCATCATTTTCAACTTGCGATACTGTCCACTTTAGAGAACAGAACTGAACGCGCATTTCTAAAATCAAATACACCGTCAACAACCTAACACTTAACTCTGCCAAAAGCCAGCGTGAATGAAGCCACTGAAGAGAACCACAGTAGCGGCGGGGGGTTGGATCAACATCCAGGAATCCGCACAATAATTTTCAGGTTTTTGCTCACGTAGGAGACCTTCCTGTTATAGGGCTCTAGTGGCAGGAAAACGAGTGTGCCCGCCACTGCCTCAAAATATTTCACAATGCTTCCCACATTCTTGCTGCAGAAGGTCAATTCAGTTTTTGAATATAACCAGGCTGGTAGCTAAACTCAGCAGAAGACTATTCTCTTTAGCACTTCCATAGCATTTTCCTTTTCACTTACGTAAAGGCAAAGGGGGAAACCCTAGCGTGTTTGTGTCTGCCTTTCACCAAGTCTGATTCATTACAATGAAAATGGCTGGAGAAAAGCAGGTCCCTCTACAAGCACTAGCTATGGGACGCACAATTACGAACCCCCCGACCAGTACTTGTCGTTCGGTCTCAAGTGCTCCGGCTGATTTTTGGATGACTCGTGTCCTCGCCCACTTGTTCTGCACAGTCTCTCCATGCCGCGTGCACAGGCTCAGCCTCGAGCCCCACCTCTGCCTCCAGAGGCTCAGCGCCTGATCCGATACTCCAAGAGACAAGCCTTACAGAGTGACTCCCAAGGAGCCCGGCTGGGGAGTGAGGGACTCATCCCTCCCCTAGGCTGCAATGCCAGCTTCCCCACTCACCTGTGCAGTGCAGGCAACATCTGGGAAACAAAAATTGTGGAGCTCTTGTTTGGGATACTTCCTACTGTGTTCTTGGCACATCGGAATACACTGAATTTTTAACTTGTATCTGAAAATCTTTTGCTGAATATTTGCCTTCTCCCCCTGTGGGGGCCTTGTGAGTGATACCCTCAGACAAAGGACCTTTCCATATCTTTATGGAATACTGATCTGTTCTCTGTGTACTCCTAGTCCTACCCTGTCCTTTGATGCCCCTCTCCACCAAAAGACAACCCAATTTACATCTCCTTAACAACTGATTGATACCTCGGAGAGAGAGATTAAAAATTGTAAGACTGCATCAGTTATTACAGAATGCGAACAAGGACAGAGCTAGACATGAATCCCCACTAATCACTTCTTATGGCTGTAAAGAAGGCTGAAGGAGGTAAGTGTCCTCTTTTACCAAGAGAACAGAAAGGAAGGCTGGGCCGCTCGTAACTCTACGAACCTCGTATGTTGTCGTCATGGTGGGCTTATAGGACACGTGGTTGGCTCTTCGCAGCTCCTTGATCGTCTCAGCTGGCATGGACTTAGAGAACCCTAGGCCACTCCAGGTGTTTGTAGGTGTTCTGACCTCCGTCACCACTGGTTTCTTTAACATAGCTTTGGAAAACAGAATATAAAACAAATTCTTGGTATGTTTAACATATTTTTTTAAATAAAACTTGGATGATGTGGATGGTTTCTTTGATATGTGTGAAGAAATCATATCTGTTATTTATTAACCAGAAACAGCTAAAATAACTTAAAAAACATACACAAAGAAACGGAAATAAAAAACTATATAATTTATTGACACTAATCTAGTCAATAAATTAAAATTAGAATTAAATTAAAATTAAAAATTAGGACTGGAAATCCCATTCAATCCAGCTATCCCCCTTCTGGGAATTTTCCCAAAATAATTGAAAACATCATATCATAGTGATACTTGTGCACCCATGTTTATAGCAGCACGATTGGTGATACCCAAATCTTGAAAACAACCAAAAGGCCCATCACCTGAGGAATGGCTGAAAAAGATGTGCTGTTCTTATGCGATTTTCTTTATAGCTCAGCTATAAAGAAAAACAAACCCAAAGCCTTCATAGGTAAGTGGATACAACTTGAGGCTATACTCATAAGAGAAATAACCCAGACTCACATGCATAAATATCATATTATCTCCCTCATATAAGAACTCAAAAGAAGAAATAAAAACTGAAAGGTGTAACAGACACAGTTAAATGGAAAGAAACAAAACTTAAGGATTAAACAACAAAGAAAGAAAAAGCAGGAAGTTAGGTAATAAGGTAGGGGTAAAACCATACATGTATATATACAAGATGGCTAAGGCAACTGTCCTAAGAATTTCCATCAGGTATTTGAAAATAGCAGTCAATGGGCAGAAAGTTCACCATGACTAACTCTCTAGGCTGATATCTGTGAACTAAGCAATTACATTGAGGACAGCAACATGTAATACTAAAAACATGATTGAAATACCTGTCATTTTGTTTGTTTATTTGATTTTTATCTTCTAAATGTACATCACTTGTAATGTCATATCAATTAGTAATATACTGTCTTTATTTTTGGAACCAGGGATTGAACTCAGGCTCTTGCACTTGCCAGGCAAGAATATACTGTCTTTAAGTTAAATTGCTTTAAAATAAAAGAAAATGAGAACAACAACAACAAAAAATCTCAATACCAAAGAGCTGCTAAAAATACATAGTTCATATAATGTAATGTTTTTATACTATATTTTATAGAGTTTCAAAATAGGATATTTCACTGTAGTTCTGACCTGAAAGTCTATTTTCTAAATTATATTAAAATTAAAATACTGTTGATGCAAAAAAGAGTAAGAAGTAAAATGAGGAATTGTACTGTAATTTCAATTACATTGTAATTTCATTATATTACATTGAAATTAACATCAATGTGTGTACAATTCTATTTTATAAAATACTATTTATATAGACTAATTATATATATTTAAAATAAGTACACTTAAAATTAAAGATAAGAAAGAACGACTGGGATAGGGAAAAGAACAAAACAAAGAAAGGGGAAATATATATATGAAAGCTATGATAATCATACTACCAATCTCTATTGGTTTATTGAAATGAAGTTATTTTGTGATTCTTTCATCTATTTTGTCCCCTTTGATCTGGTAATCTGAACAACTACCTTGAAGATAACAGTATGCAATATAACAACCTTTCCTATCATCTTACTTTAAAATTCTGTATCATTTTTATTGTTTATTTTAATGTTTTATCCTCTTTAAAATAAAAAATGACAAAAATAAATTAATTAATTAATAAATTATTTTTGTTTTCCTCTTATGAGAATCCAGTTTCTCAATTTACCATGAATATCAGAAGAACATTTCTGAGTATACTGAAAAACAATCAAATTCTACATCATTGGTATGTCACACACCTTTGGTTGCTAATAACTTCTTTTGTTCATAGTCAAATGCCTGAAAATGAAACAGAGAAAATGTCCTTATTGCCAGTCTCTTCAAATGTCCTGTCAACAGCTGATGGACAGAGAACAAAGGTCTTGACTGTGGTCCACGAATCTGTCTGCGACATGTGCTAGGCTGTGCACTGTGGTATGACAGAAATCCAGGGCCAATATGATCAATTTAAACATGCCTTCAAAATGAATTAGTTAGAATAATTACTACCTCTGAGTAGAAATCATGACAGTCACAGAAGTTAGACTTTTCCCTTCAAAACAAAAAAATTCACATTTATAGTACTAAGAATAGTGAGCATGCTGGGACCACTATGTGCTAAATTATAATGAACAAGGCTGGGGAGATAGCTCAGTGGCACAAGTGCCTGCCTAGCAAGCGTAAGGTCCTGAGTTCATTTCCTGGCACCAAATAAATAAATAAGTAAATTTACAGTGAACAACCTATAGTACTTACGTCATACACGTTACCAAAATACTGCTAGGTATCTAGCTACTGTCCTCCTTTCTGTCTCAAAATCCCCCCTTCAGACAGGTAGGCGTGCCCTGAAGTGGTATGATCTCAAGAAGTGGTCTGATACTTCAAGATGTTATCAGAATAATTGGTGTTGTTTTTGCTTTACAAATAAGATAAACAGAAAATGTCTAGCTTTAATCTATAATAACAATAACAAATATAATAAAACTAATCGCATTATCTTTCATTGTTTAGGCCAGGATGACATCATACATTCATTCCATTGATACTGAGGGCATAATGACAGTGTGTCCAGGTCTGTACCAAAGCCAAATAGGTCTTTCCAAAGAAAATAGTGCAGGTACAGTTACCTCTCAGATGCCAACCTAGTTCTCTCAGCTCCCCAGTTAAGCCTAACTAACAGATTTAAGGCCTCCTCAGAGGCCTACGAGGAAGGCTAAAAACCAATTGGCAAACCTCTCTGACTCTTCGCCTAGAAGTCTGCAACCATGGAATACAGTGTCCATGTCATCTATGGTCTAGAACAGGACACTTTGGAGAGCAAAATTTGCGACTCATGATCAGGCTGAGAGGACGAAAGCAGAGATGACCTCAGACAAACTAGCACAGAGGTGCCCAAATTAAAAACATGGCAGTAACTCTGGAAATCTAGAATTTTTAGACAGCACTGTTAATGTTTTTGAACACTTCAAGGTCTAAAATGTCACTGAAATCCAAAGATCAAATTTTAATTACCAATGTACAAGGGCTAACTGTAGAGAAAAATCTAAATTCATCTGTATGTACTGAGTGCCTGTTAGAAAATAGGCTGAGCTGTGTAAAAGAATCTGGTAATGAATCAAAATTAATATCCTCAATGAGTCAGGTCTAGGAGGAAGGTACAAAAGAAATAGCTAAAATAAATCAGGCAGAGAGATGAGGGCAGAAAGGGAGCCAAGAGATCTGGCACCGCAGCAGCGGCCAAGAGGCAGATCCCATCTTCTGTGACAGAACTCGGGGAAACCGTCACTGTGTCTCCAGCAAATGCTCTTGCCCATGCTCACTGACTTGTCAGTGATTTGAAGGGTCAGCTGTTCTCTGAGGGCATGAGCACATCTATGCTACGTGAGACCTACCAGTATCATCAGGAGCGCTCTCATCTACCTTAAAAGACACACGACGTGGATTCACTTAAAGCAAAGTCTCACAGAGAAGACCACAAGACAACACAATCTTCTCAGGGAACCTGGGATTTGATAGTTCTTAAATCAGAAATTTCATTTTATAGCAACTGAAAATAAACCCACCAGAGTAAATGATATAAATGCCTTTCTAAGAAAAAGTATTACATTATAAAGGCCAAGACTAACAAATCACTTAAAAACTCATGAAAATGTTCATATCAAATGATTAAAAAAAAAGGACAAGGAAGATAGAATTTTAGTTTACATGGGAATAGCCATAGTATGACTTAAGTTTCACAGATTAATTTCTTTGACACACTTAGGACACTTTTTGAGAATTTTGTGAGAAGTTCTCCTATTTTTTGGAGATGGGGACATAGAGACCCCTCACCGTCAGGTAGGCAAGCCTATCCAGGACTTCTGGTCCTGAAAATTAAAATATCTGTAAGAATCCCTGAAAGCACCAAACCCCTATCTTCCCTGTTATGATCTATGTGAAAATCAGATTTCATTTCATGATCAGTAATTTACTTTGAGTAAGTAATCTAATATTTCAGAAATGGCTATATAGGCCCTGTGGAGGACAAGTGTAAAATCGTCCTAGAACTCTGTGAAATGATATAAGTAATACTCAGCAC